CAGACACAATTCCAGACTCCGTGCTACTACTGAGAATTCTTAAAAACCCAGTATCACTTTGCCCGACCCGGGAATCAAACCCGAGACCCCTTGGCCGGCAGTCGCACTTGCCAACGAGGCAGTTTTTGGGAAAACTGTAACGAAATTATTACAACATGCAAAGAGTTTGAGTTTATCTTTAAGGGCTTCTTTTCTTCTTTTCACTAGAACTTCATAAATTCCGTTTCTCGTACAACATCACTATGTCATGGTATTCCACAATACTGTTGAAGGACGCAATATACCATCTTTATCTCAAGAGCAGCAATACAAGTATTGCAGCCTTTCCGTACACCACTTCAAAAGATTGCACTCTCGTATGAACGCGAACATGATTCGACATTCTTTCGCAATATTGTCATCTAACATTTCGAAATGTGTGTCTAGGTCATATTTGTCTGACGTTCTTTGTATAGCAGGTGAATTTCGGTTCAGAATTGTTATAGGAAGGAACTTGTGACTTCAATTTTGTTAGCTGATATATCCTGCATCTGCATTAATTTTATTCATCGTTTACTACACAATTGTCTATAGTGAAGTCCCCAGGAAAATATCAGTAAAGTACTGTTTATGTCTCGTGTAAAGCGGTACTCGTTTTTACATTTCACATGGACTAGTAATAAAACCATTGAAAAATATTATTCTTCCTTCCTCTTCGTGAATTTACATACATCATTGTCTTCGTTATACAACTCCTTGTTTATGGAGCCTGGCAGTGTATCAGTCTCCTTCCTGAACTGAACTTCGTGATCGGTTGAGGAACAATCATTTGCATCAGCAACCACGCTACATTTACTCTTTAATGTTCTTTTCTCTACGGAACATACGTATAAACATTCTGCACAATAACTATTTCCTTACAAACTTTCGTTTCGTTTTATAACACTGAATTAGCAGTTATTGTTAATTAATTAAAATTATTGCTTGATACTTTATAGTTACAATAAAAATATGTGTAGGTATGTATGTGAGCATGACTGTCGTGATGACGATTTTTCCAATGGCCAAATAAAAATAAGGAAATCTGGCGTTGCAAGGAAATAGGTATATGAGCAATGTTTTATAAATATGAAAAATAAATACCATCAAGTCATATGGCGTCTTATTTACGTGTGAGGTAATAGAGTCCATGAACATAGGCCAATAAGATAAGATCGTAAGTTATCAAACAAATCCATACGACAAAAGAATTCTTCGTCAAGTATTGTCATTCAAGGCATAATGAGCGTGCCTTCTCACGTTACGTCGCCCAGTACTTTAATATTACTCATCCTTGGCCTTAAAAATAAGTATGAGCTTTACAAAAACAGCCACGTGCCGCCATTTTAATAAAATGCCTGTCGAAAAAAGATTGCAGTTAATAAAGAAAGGAAACTACAAACATGTTAATACAAAACTAATTAATGCTGACTATAACTTGACATGATCATCACAATAGCGTCGAAAACGACAATAAAATGATGTGTACGGTACAGGTACAATTACACAATATTGACTTATGGTGAGAGGGAATACAATAAGTAATAATGAAGGACATAGTGAGAAGTGGCTTTCTGAATTGTAGAAAATTACGAAAAATCATCCGAGACCATTATTTCGCAGCTTTCACTGGACAATTTTAACAAATAACAGCTAAAGACATAATTGTGGGAATCATTTTCAATGCAGGCAACAATGCATAGGTTACGTTGCATGAGGTTGTAGTTATCATTGTGTTGGTCGTGTGTGGTCATCACGAATTTTAGCAAAACCGTGTGATTTTGGAATTTACGACATTTACGCACCTTCCATTTACTACAAACTAGCAACTTCAATTTATGATACCACAATAGCTCACTTAAAAAGGTTACGAAAATTCAACGATGGCCCAATATTTCCAACGCTAGAAAATGTATCGAAACATTTCGCAGTGTTCCAAGTATTATTGCTTTGCGATGCTATCTACCTCTAGCATTTACAACCTTTATTGGCCAATCAATTTGAAAGCTAATAACTCGAAGCTGCACATGAATTGAATGCAAGTTTCAGGCAAGTAAATGTGCAGAATCTTTAATCTGGTAACGTAATTGCAAAACATGCCAAATTCACCGATGAAGTCGAACGTGGGATCAATTATTTACCTGCTCCACTTGCGGCGACTCCAGCATTATGTCACTACCCAGTAACGAACGCAATGTCCTAGATTTCTCGCACAATTAACGACTATTTACCATTTACCCAGCACAGCCAAGTTTTTCAGTGAATAGCTCGACTAGTTGCCTTACAGCATTGTTTATCGATATCTCAGTTTCGTTACTCGCCAGTAACACTGATTTATAGCTTCATTGATACCGTATCGCCCTAAATTCTCATGGACAGACTAACCGAACCAGTTTTCTAAAATGTAGTTTTGCTGAATCAGCCTACTCCTTCTTGTACTATCTTGTTATACAGAGGACTACAATGGAAGTTGTATCTAAGTTGTTATTATTTATAATTGTCTTTGTTCGTTCCTATCTCTTATAATCAGACAGTATTTGCAAACTTTTTTGTCTTATTACAATCCAAACGACCTTCTTGTTGCTACTATTAAGGACTGTGATGACGTCGTGCCTGTCATTTCTGCATCATTTTACCTTGTTCATGATTAGGGGTGTTACCTAAATGGTGTTTCTGGTACACCTACACGTTTGCTACAGTTGCCACAAAAGGTTCTCGCGTGGGAGAGAGACAGTGGCGACGGCGGTGTGCGCGCGCGAGTCAGCCCTGCGCCTGCGCCGCCGAGCGGACGCGTTGCCATTACCGGCGCTCCACACCCGCGACAGTGAAAGTGCTTCATTCGTGTTTACGGACTGTTAACATTGTGAATAAATGTCAGTGAATACTGTAAACTTCAGCATCATCTTGCATTGTATTGCAATCAACCTAAATATTTCTCGTTCATACTGTTGTTTCCATGTAACATCCGTGTTAGTTTAGCCGGCCGGTCTCTTTTCCGACCAAAAACCGTTGCGAACACCTACAAACATCAAACATTGGAACATAATATTTACTAGCGTTTAATGTTTTTTTTTTTACTTTCTAGTGTTTCTTTATCGCTACTTTACACATTATCTTCGGTCACGGTTCGTTCGGCTTCATCAAAGTCAACAAAGTTTAAAGTTACAAGTGGTTGCTTCATACAATTTTCATGTATTCCTAACGCCTGTCCACCTTGAAGTGTCGCAATTGCTATTTGCATAATATATCCTTTCGTTGGACACTTGATTGCAATTAACAATCGGTTAACTGTTTAGGCGGGTTCATCCATAATATTCTATCTTATGAGGACAATGAATATATTTTTAAATTTTGAAGAAGGTGACGTAATCACAATCTTTGCGATAAGATTTTCAAACAATCTCCACGTAAATAAATTCTTCTCACGATCATTTGATATCTTCAATCAAATGCTCAGCATTTAAAACGATGTTACACTCAAATCACGGAAGACGTTAATCGTAAGAACCAGTTTTGGTAAATAAATCATGCGACAGAAGCCACATACAGAACGGAAGAAAAAAGGGTTTCCGACACTTTCTAAATCAATATTTAAATAATGGTAAATATGAGGAAAGATGATTCAACAAACAAAATCGTTTTCGAATATAAACCACTTTCCACAAGAATTAAGATTGAAAATGAGAGCAATTGCACTTTATAAGTGAATCTTAGAGTAGATGCAAGAATCGTGAGCAACTTGTAGACTGTTGACCCGCAGTGTCTACGCCCAGCCGGAACTATGACAACTGCCGAACGGAATTCCACTAACAAATGCTACCTTATTTAGTAAATCTACATTCATCGCATTCCACTACATGTACCTTTAATACTCGAGTCTTATAACCAACGATTATACAGCGTTAATCGAACCGCATAGAACCAGAAACAATCGATTTGAGTTGCAACTGTTAGACACGGTCGAATTTACAACCACTTCAACTATATTAATGGCAGTAATCTGAATATCATTGTATATGCTTTTAAATTCCATTGCACAAGCGTCTCGACAAATATTGAAATTGAAACTCATTTCATGTTTTATTTCTTTTCGGTTTCGCATTAATATTCTCCGCATCGAAACATTTTCAATTCAATTCACTACATTTCGCGGCAAAAAACAAGACAAAGACAGTATTGTCATTCTATCTGTTGTTCCAGATCTAGAAAGTGTCTCCGCCTAGACGTAATGTCTCGATAATTGAAGCAATTACAGTTCTGTTATGCGCAGGCTCTTAGTAGTCTACTTATCTGATCGTGCTGTAACATGCAGCGTTGCATCTTGTTACACATCTCTGATTGTAAATGCATTGTCATAGCGATCATTGTCCGTTAGTTCCTTATTAACTTATTACTCTCCTATTATTAGTACTACCCGGACAACGATAGCATCAGCCCACTTTGTATTAGTGTAAATAGTTAGCACCGCCTGCAGCTCACTCGAATATGCAGTTCTGTAAATGATACAATTCTCTTTCCGCGGAACAGATTATGCGCCGCGCTAGGCCTTCATTGTTTCGCAAGCCGCAATGCTCTGATTGCAACGCCATACATACAAACACAACTCGCTTTGCAATTACACCATAACTTGTAGTCGTAAATATTATCTAATAACTGTAACACTTTCTCGTAACATCCTTAGAACTGATTGAATATTAAAGTTATTATTTATCCAGGTGGCATCCTCACGAGACGAAGAAAAATAACTCTGAAATGTTCGAGATATTAATCGTACACAAGTGTAATTGTAGAACCAAACGCTTTTGTGCACTGAAGCGTAGCTAACTATTTTCAAATACCAATTTAGGTGCATTAACCACATCCAATGTCAGGCCAACTATTACAAATGTTTTGTAGCACATTGCGATACCACTTCGCTTAGCATTGAAACGGTGAAAAAATCAGCGGTTCTCGATAGAAGTGGCGAGGCAAACGTCGATCCGTACAATCGTGGTACCAGTCGACCCTGAGACGGCCGGCAACGCAGCTGCCGACGACTTGTTTCGCTTTTTATAACTTGATCACGCGACTCAGTTGAGGAAGCCAGTCCTCTCAAACTTTAATTGAACATACAGTGAATCAACATTATGAACGAAACTCTATATTATTCGTTGACAGTGCAAGGGGATGTCTGAACAAACGTTCTTTATTCGATCTAGTGCTCTGTGCTCGTAAAGTGATGTGATGTGATACCGATGATGAAGAACAATGATCTACGAGAGACCTCAGATGAACGGTGGCGTCGGCCCACCGCCGCCGAGGCCGCGGACTTTCCGGAGGAACTGTGGCGATCAAGGTGCACCAGGCTGATTAATTATCCCAATTGTTATTCGATACATGGTCAACTATTCAACCAGTTATGACATGACTCAACATTGTTTTTAGTCTTAATTGCCAAAAACCTTGCACTAAACTGGCAGAAACTTGTTTGTATAAAGTAACAAACACGTTTTGCGAATTTCGTAACATTCTTGAATTTCCATAAAACATTAGTGTTCATTTTTGGCATTGAAAAACATCGATAATATTTACCATGACCGCGTCCATTTCACGGCATTAACTTGAGTCGTGATCATAAATCGATTGACCTGGGATGTTCGGCCTGTTGTTACCACGACCGTCATTTGTTTTATAGTGTTCGTAACGTCACCGACGAAGGTGTACATCGACACGAGTGCCAAGTGCTCGTACTACAGCCAGAACGATGAACGTACGCGCAGGCCGCGAGATGACCTGGGGGACCGGGTGCGGCTCATCGACGTGCTGGAGCGGACCTGCCGACTCGACCTCAGGACTGTGCTGCAAGATGGAGAATTCGAAATACAAGACCTCATTGCATTTTTCGGTACTTTCGTTTACTTGTACAAATTGATTTTGTTTGGTTTTATTTTAGTTTTCACTAAAGTAATCCATGACCTTTTGTGGGAAATGACAAGTGCTGTGCTACTTTCGATCGAACGGTTAGGTTAGGTTAAATTAGTTGACAAAACAATAGTCAACATTCTTGAGTCCGGTAGTGCGCGCTATGTTGCTCGTTGGCAGTCAAAACAATCAAACGTTTCAATGGGATCTTAAACAAATCCAATTTCAATCGAAAAATATTGCAAAATGCTATCGTATTGTCTGATTGTTTGTCAACATAACTCGGATGTTAGGTGTTATGGGTATTCATGTCTTTTATATGCGTGTAATGACACCGTGCACTGTATCATTAGGTGTAAGAACGGCTCACAGATCGATCGTGCACTTTCTAGCTTTCTACTCGATACCTACTCTTGATAGACGTGCTCATCTAGATCATGTTGTGAAAAACTATATTTAATGAGAGTTGGTGATAAGTGCATGTTATTATATGTGTTCAACTGTAGAATTGATGAAGTTGTTAAACTACGCTTCTCCAATTCGGTTTCGTGCGCTCTGGTTCAATGAAGTTGTGGAATATCTATCTTTAGGTAAGCGAGTGTCACTTGTGTATAATTTAACAAACAAGTGTTATTCCTAAATAATTTTTCGTTCTTTGTTTTTTATTATGCCTTCATCTCCGTACCCAAAATTATTAAATTATTTTCGTCCTACTTTTGAATTAGGTACCTATATGAAATCACTCGAACCTTTAAAATATTTTCTAAACTATACTGGACGAAGTGTTGATTTGGCTACAAATTACCTTGATACTTACTGTGCCTCCAAGCCATTTATCTTCTTAATTCGAGAAGACAGTTTCTAGTTCAATACCTGTAATTAAATTCATTGTATAATGGCTCGCGTGTCTCGCATAATAGACGCACTTGTTCACCTGCTAAGAAAGTGAAATTACAAAAACGCGTCCATGACGTGTACTTAAGTTATCACTTACAATCGCAGTTTTCATATTTTTCCTTTTAACCTATGATAAATTGTTTGACATCTCGATTTCTATTTATCTGACGTCAATAATTTGTAGTATTGGAACTTTCAAAGCATATTTAGGACTTTGGTTTAAACCGGTTGTAAATGTCAAAAGCATCGATCATTATCTAGTCATTCCACTTCCTTTAGTTTATTTATAAATGCAAGGGCAGATGTAATCTGTGTATTACCTGTGGTATTATGTACTTCATGTCGCCATGGCCTGTGTGCTTCTTGGTCATCATGACCGTATCGCCATCGCTAATTGAATAAATATCCAATGAGTATATTCAGATGTGTTTTCTATTATGTACGAACTGGAAAATTTCAGTCACTTGTATGTTAGTAAGGTTTTAAGGCACAATATCCGATCCAAATAATGGTATACTGTTACGGATCTATTCTATAAGAGCTGAATATTATGCATTAGCTGACAACGCTAAAGAACCTTGACTTCCAATAAACTGGAAAAACCCCTAACCACCAGTTACAAAACATAGATCCTTAAACATGTATGTCATCAATAAACTTTTGGCTATAGACTATGACTCAAACATGTCCAAATATACAGATTATAATGCAACGTTTCATTATTGACTGACTGTATCTATTCAATTGATCAAGTACTGGCTGGTCACTCGATAACCAAATCTTTTTATTGTAATCATTATGTGCCACTATGTTGTTTGATTTGTCTAATGGCGTTATTTATTATCTGTGACAGTGATATTACCGTTTATTGCCATGTGGGCGTAATAAAGTACAATTTGATATTGAACTGTAATTTGGAAATTGATATATTTTGGTATCTTACTTTTTTTCAGTCTTCTTCTATTCGATCTAATATATGTTTTTTTTCAAATAAATATCACGTGTGTAATAAGGTCTAAATAAAATATTTGCATAGACATTGAGCTAAGCTTCCGAAATAGACCGTGGTGAATTGAAATTTAAACTCCAATTTTAAACGTTGCAAAGCGGTTGTCACTTGTCTAAGTATATACCTTAGTCTAAGGAACTAAATCATTAATAGATATTTTTTTTTATGGCCACTAAATTAACGAGGCATTACACTTTTTAAAATAATACAAGTACCAAATAAATTGATTTCGTGAATCATGCTTCATGCATTAAAAGTACTAATAATAATAATTGTATTTTATGTACGCCAAATTGTTATTAAGGCTCTTCCGCATTAATTTTAATGGTTTTCAATTACATGTTAGTAAGATCGTGCATTCCGATAGTTAGTATATTACATACCTAGAGCTGATATTCTTAAACAAAATTGGTTACGATTGTGGTGGAACATGGTAGATAGTAATTCCTTAATTAATTACCTGCCCTTTTACTTCAGTCCTTTTGTTTTAAGATCAAGAACTAAAGATATATTCATAAATCTTTTCGCCAATTTTTCACGGGAGTTCAAGTATGGAACTTTTTATACCGTTAAAATAAAATTAGGGAATAACAGATTTACAGTTTTATGATATAGAGTCACTATAATGTAACATAAGCTGCCATTATATATGGAAACAATTAATTCATGATGCAAATCTTTGACTCAATCAGTCATACCATACAGAACACTTGTAGCTTTGCAACCACCGCCTGCCCGACCACAGATTTCGCAAAAGTTGCCACAGATCCTACAAGCTGCGATGAATTTACATACATGGCTGAATGCATGTCCTTCACTCAGTTTTTTAGAACAGTAAAGAGGCTTTTCTGTTTATGTGTAAAACTCTTTTTCTTTTTACTTCATTCTTTGTCTTTAAATCACCAAGGATGATTTTATTTTTACGTGTATAGCGTGTATAGACTCCTTGACTCTCTTTGTCTTAGACATCACCAAAAAAGTTTTTAAAACGAGTTTTTTTTACTCGATGTGGTTAAAAGGTTCATTATTTTACTCACCTATACGTTAAATGTATTGTTAGCTTGCGCTTAAGAATGTTATAGCCAGTTAGAGACGTTATGTAACGGTGGGGTCAGTGACTGACGTTGATTCAGTCTTGCAAAACTCCCTGTTTGACTTTATTAGCACTGCATATTTATTCTTTAGTGCTAAAATGACCTCACTTGCATCAACAGCTTGAAGTGCCTATAAATATTATTCCAAAATTTTTCTTTAATCATTAATCAATTGTGGTTTAATAATATGTAGGTATTTCTTAAACTGTCAAACACCAAGCGGTCACCGGTGACCGCAACCTATTGTTCTATAATTGTGTCTACAAAACCGGTACTCGACGAGTTAATCGTAATCTTATGCGCAATAACTTCTGAAACTTAATTATGTCTTAACAAAATTGTCCAAGTAATTGGTAACACAATGTCGTACGATGCAGCAACACACGATACACAACACGATCGAATGAAGCAATGCTGAAAACCATTTAATACGATCTAGTGTTTCATCGACCGCAACTTGCGCAAGAGTTGTTTAACGATCATGGCAGATGCGGCGATAGATATTATATAATGTAACGAAGGGACTAAAGACCTTAATATGTATATTAATCATACTTGTTATTTATTAATAACTTAGCGTACCAAGTTTA